GTCGAAACGGAAGGAGCGTGTGTGCACCGTATACGAAGCTAGCGCCTTGTTGGTCGCGCTTCCATGGCCTGGCTTTCCTGATCCGCTGCACCCCACCGTAAACATTCGCCTCAGGAGTTTCACTACCAACGCTTTGGGTTTCCGGCTCCAGCTCTCCAACCTCACCCGCCTTCGATTCGTACACTCGCTATACGACGCTTTGTTATCGTCTTCTTGTCCATGCACTGCCGCTGCTGATCGCCCGGGTTCCGTCGCCCCTGCCAGCTCATCGGCGCAGCTTCCTCTGACGCCTGTTTCACTCCCAGCAGGCTTACCCTCGCTCGCCGTAGTACACTCTTCAGCTGTGCCCCAACGCATTCCACAACAGACTGCTCCGACCTACGCTCACCCACCGCACCCCCGACGCCGCCCACGAAACTACTGCCACGCCCACACATTCCATTGGAGACCGCCACCGGCCCATCTTTGCGACACCATCTTAAGACGATCGCGTTGAGACGCAGGCTGGAGGGTGAACATGAAGAGGGGGACGTCATGATGGCCGTTACCACCTCGCGCGATGACGCGCTGCAGCTGCCTGAGTCCGAACAGCTCACGATACCCTCGATACGACCCACACAGACGCCCCCACGATCGAGACGGAAAGCATCTACGTTGCCGGCCCTGCGCGCATTCTTCCCCCTTCTCGTCTTCCTCGCCATAGCCTCCTTCCTGCCAATCGCAAGCGCCGTATTCGTAAACTTTGAAGATTGCCTGACACGGGTCTACCTGGCCGACGGCAAGCAAACGCCCTACCTCCGCTTCACCCCCGAATACGTCTGGGCCGACTTCAGTCCGGATCACACTCTTAATGTCACCGTATACGGCAATGTCTCGGGTCAGGCCCAGCTTGGTGACTACCCACCATTGAACGACGACAATTGGAAGGACCCGAATATGACGTTTGGCAAGATTGTGAACCTCGCTCCGAACCACAAGCACTACACTACTCTGTTCTGGAACAACAAGGTTCTGACCTACAACGCATACAACGCGCCCGCCGCCCAGTTTTGTCAGTCCGTACTGAACACAAGCTGCCCGGTGGCTCCATCCTTCGGTGGGAACTTGAGCGAATTCTGGACCTTACCAGCTGTCAGTGTCGCACACAACTTCGGTAGCTCGTACGCATTCTCGACTTGGGCCTCGACACTGCGCATCGTTTCTGGTGACGACAATGCACAGGCTCTCGGCTGCATTTCTGCAAACATCACACCAGACCTCGGCAAAAAATTATCCGACGCGATATGCTACCTTCCGGCTGCCGTGCTCGCCCTCGTGGCTATTGCAACCGTGTTCGCGGCGACCTGCAGCCCATGGGGAACGTCAAACATCTTCCGCTGGACCAGTAACTATGGTCGAGATGAGGACCTGCTGCGGCTGGTCACGCCAGGATTTGGAGATTGTTTGCAGTACATCCAGTTCATCGTCTTGGCAGGAAGTCTCAGCCTGAACTACCCTGGTTACTTCCAGCCCGTCGTCAGCCAGGCCAGTTGGTCGTTACTTCTGTTTAATCAGAGTTTCGTCAGTCAAGGCAACGGCTCCCAGAGTCTTGTTGACGGCATCTACTTTGCTAACGGAACCTACGGCCTGAACCGCCTGGGTCAGTACGTTGGGATGAGTAGAGAGCGTGATATATGGGCGTGCATGGCCATCTTCCTACTCGTTCTGATAGCCTGTGTGATTGTGCTTACCCAGCTCGGCTTCTTTATACGCTGGCTCTTCCGCTGGATTACCAACACGCAAGATGGTGATCTGACTGGGAAGAACTGGTCTTTCACCGCCGGCAACATCATCCGTGTCGTGTACAACTACTTCATGCTTCCGATTATAGCGCTATCCCTGTTCCAACTCGTAGTCGGTCCACGCTCGCCGGCTTCCGTCGTCTCCTCAGCCGTCATCATGCTGATCATTGTCGCCGGATCAGTTACCTGGATATTCTGGTTTATCTTCACCACACGCCCTCGTGCTCATTTGTTTGACGACCTCCCTACTGTCTTGACCTATGGACCACTCTACAATACCTACTCGGATGATGCCGCTCCATTCTCTTTCATCCCTGTCCTGCTCACTATCATCCGTGGCATCGCTATCGGCGCTATTCAACCGTCTGGCATCGCGCAAATCATCATACTTGCTATATGCGAAGTTATTCTGATCCTTACTCTACATGCCTTCCGGCCGTTCCAGTCGAATACTTCGATGAATGCGTACCATACCTTCTTCGCCACAATCCGACTCATCTGCGTCCTTCTTTCGGTAGCTTTCGTACCTTCCCTCGACGTGGATGAAGCACCCAAAGGCTGGATCGGATACATCATCCTGTTACTACACGCTATCGTTTTGGTCTTCGGCTTCTTCCTGAACGCTCTTCAGACAATCATCGAAGTTTCTGCCCGACTTGGTGGCGTAGGTGCGGACCAGCGAGGTGGTCTTACCGCGGTCTTTGGAAAGCGACAACTGTCGAAACGTAACGTTCATCGAAACACTCGTGGTAGTCTGAACTCGAACGCTGCCATGTTGTCACACGATGAGAACAAGAACATACAGCTCATGAACAGTCGATCTCGAAGTATGTCTGCCAGTTCAGCCGTGCTGTTGAATGGGCCTTATGACCGAGACAGCCAACGGGCAAGTGTTGGATTTGACGGCTTCAGTCAGGGCGACTACGGAAATGTCAGTCCAACTCCAGGATCGGGTCCGGTGCCCTTCACTTTCTTAGGTGGTGGGTCTTCTGGCCAGAGCTCTCGCCGACCAACGATGGGCACCATGGACGCCGCGGATCCATACTATCGACCTCCACGCCCTCGCAAGCATACGATGGATTCTCTAACCGCAGCTGCACCAGGCAAGGCGCCTCTGGGGAGTGCAGACATTGTGGACGCCCCCTACTCGGACAATCTGGACACTGAAGCTATCAAAGCCGGTGAAGGCCCGTCGCGTACTTCCGGCACACCTGCTCCAGCCTATCTGCGGTTGAATCGAGACGACTCGGACCCAAATCTTGATAGAAGGAACAACAACAATACCGACTATTCCGTGCGCGAGTCAGACTTTTACTATGGACTTCGTGGCCCTGCTTTGTCTTCTCAGCCTACGCGAAAGCTGAAGACAGGGCCTGCGGATCCAATGAGTCCTGTCTCGTCGGCTACAGGTTGGTTCAAGAGCTTGAACCTATTGGGTGGGCGGAAGAAGGAAAAGAGCAAGGGATTTGAAGTGGTCAGAAGTACACGAATACCACCGCAGATGATGGCCGTGGAAGAAGACGCTGAGTCGCCAGCAGTCGTGCAGGAGCCATATCGGGACAGTCCTGAGTCACCTCCGCGAGCTCGGAACGCATCAGGAGGGTCAGGCGTAGCGACAGCGGCTGCCTTGGCTGGAGGGAGACGAGACTCTTCCGATAGCGACTCAGACACGAGTGACGAGGAACGAGATTACGATCCAGGCAATCGGATTTCGCCTATTGCACCGGCTCTGGGACCCATTGAGAGTTTTGGCGGAATCGAGCTGCCCAGTAGAATTGGGTCGCGTGCTTCCCGCGTTACGCAACCACCAGGACCTCCAAGTCGCGTGCCATCAATACCGCGCAAGAACTCACGTCGTACGAAGTCGACGGAAGCTGCTCTCCTCCCAGACCGGCTGTCGACTGTTACAGACGTGCCGACGTCAGTGAGTCCGAGCAGTCAAAGACGAAGTCAGCACCTGCAACCGGGCGGACCTGGAGGCCTTCCCATTCGATTACCCTTTGGATCCACCGAACCTTCACCAGAGCGCTCGCCTGGGCCATCAGCAGCATCGAGCATATACCGTAACGACGGTGTCAGCGAACTGAATGCGCCCCCAGCGATTGGTGGAACGTCGGAGCGTCCTCTCAGCACTGGTGTTGTCCAGCACCATGTGACAAAAGACAGCGTCCAACGTGACGTTTATGACGCGGGAAGTCACCTTGAGGCTTCGGCAGAGATTGTGGACCGTAGTCGCAGTGGCAGCACACAACACAGTGGGCGCAGCTACCACAGATGAAAAAGTCATTTCATTCATGTCTGTTTTCCCGTATACCACATTGGGATTGATAGATTCCCATTTTAATTTTGATCTTGGCGCAGAAGGTGCGCTTACGAGTTTCCTTACTGTATAGTTGTGCAAAAGCGATTTTGATGGCGTTGCTTGGGATACACGAGCGATGGGCTCTTTTGGGCGTAGACGGGGCCACTACATACTTCTTGATACTTTCTATATACATAAGCGGAACGGAGTGCACAGGCACGAGTAGTAACGTACAATAGTAATCTCAGTCAATCCACGACTATTCATGGCAGATGGACGCTCCAAAGTTTTGACACGTGAAGAGGGCCGACGAAGACGCGGCGACGCACCGTTGTTCCCTTGCAAGGCTAAGGCAGGCGTGGCGGCGCAGATGGTCGCGTGAAACCGCTAAGATAACAGCGTAGTGGCGCCTGAGGCATTCCAACATTGGCCGACCACGCTTAGAAGCCACGGCTCTCTGCTCACCAGTACGTGTCGCGTTGTGCGCTATTTGTCGCCTGACGTTTCTCTGATCTATCTTCCTGACTTTGCACCTTCACGGGCGGCGCATACAGCAGAGTGGTTGGAGTTCCCCTCGCCGAGCCGACGCGCAGGACCCACCCACCTCCGGCCTCTACACCGCAACCCAGCGCTGCGCGACTTATAGGCGGGTGAAAGATAGCTGCCCTGTAGCTCCAGGCTGACTGAAACGAGCAGCGCTACCCACGCTCCGAGTGCCAAAGCCCACACGCGACGCAGACGCCCAAGCAAGTGGCGGCATGTCGCCGTGAGCCGGCCGACCTTCTCTACGCAGAGCACCCCTCCCGTTCACCATCACATAAGCCGTTGCTCACTCGCGCGTGAATTGGGCGCAGTTGACCTCTGTTGGCTCGCTCCATCCGCTTTCGGTCGCATCGATCCGTCACAAGCTCTCCCAAATGCCTCCGAACGCCAATCAACGCCCGAGTGGACCCTATTCACACCACTCGCACGCATACGGCGGTCAATATGACGGAGCAAGCAGCAACATAGACGGGCCACGCGAGGCTGTTATGGGCAGCAACTCCCGACATCATTCACAGGGCGTTGTCGCATCACACTTCCTGGCCCTGGACCGCGAAACATGGATGGACTTCCTGAGAGACGGTACCGAATCCACTGCCAACCAGCAACCACCGACTGCACATAGCAACCCCGCTGCCGCCACCGAACCTCGCTCGAACCCTTCCCCGTCACGATACACCCTCCCAAACCGCCCCTCGCAACGCACCGACTCGTCCTCCTCCCGCAGCTCAGACCGCAAGCGACGTCTCACAACCGCCGACTCGCCCATGAGGCGGCCGTCGAGCATACGCATGCACTCGGAAAGCGCGGGCGACTCAAGTGCGGATCCCATCTTGGTGGACTCGTCGCCTGCTTCCGTCCGCGCATTACCTCCCACTCCGCCCGTCACATCACAAGCGAACACAGGCACCATGAGGAGACAAAGTGATATTGTGCTGCCGCCATGGCAGCCGGACAACGAAGTCTCACAGTGTCCGGTGTGCAAGAAGCCCTTTACATTCTTACTTAGGAGGCATCATTGCAGGTACGTACCGCCAGACCTATGGTCGCAGTCGTGTCAGCCATCGGACGTTTGGGGTCATGTGCCTCGTCTGCTTGGAAACCTACAAGTTGCGTTCGTCTGGACTGTTTACTGACAACAAGCACAGGAAATGCGGGAGAGTCGTGTGCGCTTCATGCTCGCCACATCGCATTACTATTCCACGCCAGTTCATCGTGCATCCGCCGTCTGAAAGTATAGCAAACTTCGTCGATTTGACAGGAGAAGACGAGAGCGCCATGTCAACTTTCGGCCCGTTCCGCAACCCAGCGCTAGGCGGAGGCGAGGAAGTCCGCGTATGCAATCCTTGTGTACCTGATCCAAACTTCAGCCCACCTCCACGATACGATTCACTCGGTCATGGCTCTCGGCCCATCCCACCCCGATCTTCACAGGTCCCACCTCCACCACCCCCACATCCTCGCGCACACAGATCGTCGTCAAGCGTACACGATGCTTCACGCGGTGCAGGCCAGAGCCATGCATATGGCATACGCGACCCCACAAATGAGAGCAATCAAAGTAGGAGAGTGAGCTATCATGCGGGCTCGCACATGGGAGAGCGGCGGCTGCCACCTCTCCCGCCATCTGCTATCGAGCAGCAACACCCACATCACCGCGCACCTCTCATTTCCCAGACCGTAGCTAACAACCGGGCCCGCAACGCCCAAAATCGTGTAAACTTCGGGTACGGATCCTTTTCGGGGACCAGTCCTTTCAGCCAAGCCATGTCAACCCCTGTACCGCCTCCACTTCAACCTCAGAATGCCCAGCCAACCCGGCCTCGCCGCCAAATCCCCGAAGAAGACGAATGTCCCATTTGTGGCGAAGAGCTTCCTCCCAAGGGCCCTGACAACGACGATTCAGACCGCACCCAGCACATTGAAGAATGCATCGCCCTACACTCCGCTTCTCCAGGCCCAACAGCCGCATTAACGCCGCAAACATCTGCCAGCCTGCCCACTCAACGCACCCGCGGTATGAGCAGTGCAGGTAATGGTGAAGGCGCCAGTAACGCAAATCGAATGAGCCATGCTGCGCGTGGAATGTTTCCGTACGTCGCGACTGAGAAGGATTGTGTTGATGAAGAGGGCAGACAGGCCGAGTGCACGATTTGTCTGGAAGACTTTGAATCTGGGGACAAGATGGCTAGGTTGGTTTGCTGGTGCAAGTTCCATGAGGTATGTCTTTCCTTTTGCCAGTACGATGGGCCTAAGGTGCTAACATGTGTCTCAGACTTGTATCAAGGAGTGGTGGGACAAGAAAGGCCGGGGTGCTTGCCCCACGCACCAGTTGCAGGAGTAGCTTTGTGGTTATATCGATGACATCGACTTTTGCATATCCCACTGGTAGATACACTCGGCGCACCGCAGACTCTTGGGATTAGGATCTTTCCGTTATCGGCGTTTTTGGTATACCCCTATCCCTCTTTATCATCATAGGCATTATCCTTGGTTTCGAGTGTCTTTGCATTTATAGACTCATTCTTCGTTCCTGATATGGGAGGACAGAAGAATATGGCAAAGCGGTATTACTACACTCAATTCACCCAAAACAAACCCCATGGAGGGAAACAATCTGGGGCTTTGCTTACTACGTTGATTATTGCCGTAACCTCAGCCTTGACGTTTCCATGGAGTCATCCATTTCACTACGGTCGTGAAGATTCGATAACTGATGTATCCTGCATCGAGCTCGTGAGGAATTGTCAAGAAGCATTACCAGGGACGTCACTTTTGGGTTCAAGTGCGATCACCAGAAGACGTCGGCAGCGTCTATTGCGACTTCTTGCAGGCACCGGACTAGAGTGATGGAAGTGGGTCTTGCGGCTAGCCCCACGAGGCTGGTAAGGCGAGTCGAGTAGCCCGCTACTCGACCCACTCCCAACATCGTATCTCAGCGCGTCACGTCGCCTAGTCTCCAGCCTCCTCTATGGCAGCTACAACCCGCGACTTCATCTCGATACACCAACCATGTTGATGCAGCTTCCTTCATTCCGTACTCAAAACCGGCTAATGACGCGTAAGCAAGTCCCATGCTACCCGCGCGAACGCTCCTCAGAACTCGCTCGTCTTTTGCTGGCCCTATGGGTGTAGAATTCAGCATTCAGCCCATTGGATAAATGTTTCCGCTCCTGAAGTGTTGCATCATGAGGGTGATAGATTTCCCGTAGGTCGAGGCGAAATCGCATTCGCGTAGGCGTTGGCTACAAATGAGGAAGCGGTGAGCAGGGCAGCCGCTGATGTAGTAACAAGACTATTAGTCAAACCTAGAATTTAGCTCTCTTGTTGTATACCCCGAGGCCATCATAGAGGCGACAAACATATTCGCCGACACTAGATGAATAGCGCCGTCGTCCCGTCTTCGGTCCGCTTCATCTAAGACCTCTGATCGCTTGTACCAAAGTCACATCGTTTTTCTTTCCCGCACCACATCCCTCTCGTTTTCTTCCCCAAGACCCTCTGCCACCATGGTACAATTACAGCGGCTAGGTTTATTGACTGTGGCGCCCGGTCTCCTTTCATTGGCTACCGCCAATGAATACGATTACGACGTGCTCGTGGTCGGTGGAGGCTCCAGTGGCACTCACGCTGCCATCCGACTGCAGCAGTCTGGAAAATCGGTTGCGCTCGTTGAGAAAGAGTGCCGGCTGGGTGGACACACCAACACCTACAAGGATACGGCGACCGGCAAGACTTTCGATTACGGCACACAAGTCCTCGTCAATACCACCACCGTTCGACACCTGTTCGACTCCCTCAACATTCCTCTCGCTCCTTTCAAGCCCGGTGGCCAGCCCAAGGCAGTTGACTTCCGGAATTCGGTCGTTGGGCCATCATGGCCCATCGTTGACGCCAACGCCTCTGCTGTAGCGCTGGACAAGTACGAGGCTCTTCTCACGCAGTACCCAGACGATTTCTTCCGTGGATACCACCTCCCTGATCCCGTTCCGGAGGACCTATTAATGCCTTGGGGCGACTTCCTGCGGAAATACGACCTGGGCGCGCTGGCATATGATGGCTTCTTGCAATTCCAAGGCATGGGCAACATCCTAGCCCAGCCTACCCTCTACGTGATGAAGCTCTTCAATCCCATGCAAGTCTCAGCACGCAAAGACAAGACCAAAGTCTCGCAAGCAAACCACAACCAGCAGGCGCTCTGGGATGCCGCAGAACAGAAACTCGGGATGGGCAATAGCTCTGTCGTGAAATGCGCCAACATCACATCCATCACACGCAGTCCGTCATGCGTCACTCTGGTCGCGCAGACCCCATCGGGCACCCAAACCATTCGCGCAAAGAAACTTCTCATGACCATCCCCCCTCAGATCGCCCTCCTCGACCAGTTCCTGGACCTGAACACGGAAGAAAAAAAGATTTTCTCTCGCTTCAACAGCAGCGGTTACTGGAACGCAGTCGTGGCCAACACTGGCTTCCCACAGAGCGTCTCTCTCTACAACTACGACGCAAAAGCCGCCTTCGGCATCGCCGGGCTGCCAGGCGCATACTATTTCACCGCTGAAATCGACAACCTCTACTCAGTGCAATATTCCACCCCCACGGAAGCCTCGGACGACTTCTTCACCTCCGATATCCTCGCCACGGTCCAAAGGATACGCGATGCGCTCGATCTGCCCCCTGCCAATCAATCTACGACGATAAAGGCTAGCAATAACCACTCGCCCTTCGCCTTGAGCGTCTCGGTCGATGAGATCAAGAACGGCTTTTACAAGCGTTTCGTGGCTCTGCAAGGCATGACGAACACGTTTTGGACAGGCGCGAACTGGGCTTCGGGGAGTTCGAGCACCATTTGGGATTTCACCGAGGTGGAGGTTTTGCCTGCGATACTTAAAAGTTTGGAGTAAGGAAGTGTATTTGCAAGGGCTCACATTAGTGCTCTAGTCTGGTATCTAGGAGGATTGACACTATTCTTCGCTGCGTGACATGAGACAATGTGATAAAGCGACTTCACCACACACTCATCCAAACAGAAACTCATATTCAAAAGTTCTTCTTCGTGTTGTCACCAACGATGACTTGTCATGTCCGTCTTTAGTACCCTGGCCCTTCTGGTGGCGACACGGAAGCGTTGATGTCCCAGTTGCCATAACCCACACGGACTGAGGTCGTCGAATCCTTAGTTCCAGTCGTTGACCTCGAACAGATATGACTGCTTATCATACGCAGGTGCTGCTCCTTACTGTACAAATCAAAGAGATACCAAAGAGAGATCCTGATGCGTGCACACCCTGGGCCGATTGCAGCAAAGCTTCTGCCAGGGAATGGCCCGCTCTTTGGCTCTATCGGATAAGCGGAGTACGCGTTGGCCTTCGCGAGCGGCGATGTTCTAGGCGCTATGACATGCTTTCGCCCACAGGAGGTTGCACCATACACAAACCTCGTCTCCGTCACCAAAACATGGGAACAGATATAGTCAAGAACAGCACATTTGTTCTGGTCCCTAATGTGTACCCAATCAGCTCCATTTGCCTCGATCTCAACATACGGTCCCTTCTTGGATCGGCAATCGCTGTCGGGCGGAAGTTCGTCGATTTCAGGCGCAAGACTTTGCATAACAACAAGAGTGGAACAAGCGCAGAGAGTACGCTCATTACTCTTCGCGATAGAATATACCAGATCAAAAACCGAGCAGCCGTAGTCGACCTTAATAGCATTTGTCTCAGAGCACAGTGCAAGTAATGAGAAGATCCTATCTCTGACAACACTGCATCTCTTGTTACGAAACGTTAACAGAAGGCTTGCTAGAGGGCTGCCAATGACTTTGTGACTGCTAGTAAGGGCGAAAACTTGATCGGCAGCTTCAAACGTACCCGATGGCAGGCCACGGATCATGCTTTGAAGTTCAATGATTGCAATCGTTAATGACCCGATTGCAACTACAATGCAGCGCGCCAGTTTGAGTTCTTGCGTGATCCATGCTCGGTTCCAATAGTCGTTCCAGAGTAAATCCCTGGATACTGCTCTTCTTGCTTTGCGCGCGCGACTTCGTGTCTCCCAAGAATCAGCATCCAGCCTCGGCTGTAGTTCTGTATGATAAGCTAGAACCGTCTCTGCAGACGCGAGTCCCAGCCATGCGATAACCGTTTCGGCTCCAGAGTAGATCCTACCCATCTGCATGACTTGGTGGTTGCGCTCAGCCGTGTTGTTTTGATCGATGCAGATAGCGTCGACCCAATATGTATAAGCTGTACGTTCAGTATCGGCTCTGGTTACTTTCAGGAACTCGAAGAGATTCGGTTGGACGTAGAATTGTTTCCCATCTATCAACACAAGCTGCTTGGGTTCAGGTTGACCCCACGCGTACGATAGGCAACGATAGGGCGCATGTTCTATGGTCGTATGCAACATAGAACACTGGATAAGGCCTTCGGCTGACAAAATTGGCGATATCTTTAGCAGCCTTATGGAAGGCAGCGAGTGATCGAGTGATTCATGTTTGTAGAAATCGGTGGGAGAAGGCTGTGCTATACTCCGCGGCTGCGAGACTGGGTCATCCGCCAGGGTACCTGACGGGGAAAACGAACTTGAAGTCGCCATGATAACCCACTTGAGATTGGGATTTAGTTCGAGAAAGGGGAGTTGCGACGGAAAGGTCAATGTCGTTGAAGAATATCTTTGCTTCCGGTATCATGTGGAAGTGCGGCTGGGTCTATGCGGGGTTACAGTATCAGCTCAGGCAGCCACACCTGGGCAGCGGGCGCAGCATCCTCAGCCGCGTTGGACTTCTGCGGAAAATGACGAAATAATCGCATAACTGAGAGTGTGCATTTAATTTAAGAGCACTGGTAGATAAGCCACCATGCGCGAGGGGGTTCGAAGGCAGCGCTGAACTGTGCCTTTATATCCTGTCAGCATCCGGTCAAGAAAAGGAGCTGATCGCGCAAGTCCTCTTTCTCAGCCTGCTCTTTTGGCCCGCTATAAGTATTTGTCAGTTTCCATTGTGTTATTTTCCGGCTATCAAGATGGATTTCTCCAAAGATCCTATCGTAATGACCGACTCATCGGCACAAAACGGACAACGTACCAGTCCTCCTCCCCGCTTCGAAGGAAAGCCTTATCTGCAATGTCTCGACACGCTGGAGGATGCGTTTCCAGCGCTCAAGTCCTTCTTAGAAAAGCTAGCAAATGAGGGAGAAGCCGGCCGTCAGGCTGTCAGACAACACTACGAGAAAGAGCATCAACGTACGCCGGGCCGATGCTATTGCTTGGAGTTCAAGGCCAAAAGCGTCGTGGAGGTGGAAAAAGGTGGCTTTAAAAGCGCTGCTGCGCTCCGAGAGTACCTTAAGGAGAAGCCAGCCAATAAGAGCCGTGAAGAGAGACACAAGCGGCTCTTCATCCTTGAAGATATGGAACCGGACTACGTGGATGCACTGGGCCATCATCTAGGCGTCGACCCTCTGGTTTTCAGCGAACAGATGAATACCTGGAATTTCACTGACTCCTGGTCCATCCCCCATAGAGGATTGCCATCGATGTCAGTGCCGGGACAGTCATTCACTTTGCGCTATTACGAGCTGCGCACTTTGCTCTATCCCGATAAGATAGACGTTCTGAGCTTACAGACCTCGTTTGCTGTGAATCGCCGGAGGTACGAAAGGTGGAAGGATATCGACATACCTTCGTTAGGCAAGCCTGACCGAAGGCATGCTTTCGTAAGACGGTGCGCGTCGTTCTGGACATCGCAGAACTTTCTGCCGGACGGGAAACCGGATGGCTTGGGATGGGATGGTAAGCTTCTCGTGTCGACCTCGCCTCTTGAACTGTGGCTAACTCGCGCTGGCTCTAGCGGTTCTTTTGGTTGACCCTGCGTTTGCTGCGACAGGCAAAGAATCATCGATAAAGTTGGCGGATGATTCATCGACGGCGGGGAAGGCAGGGAGCAAGTGTGAGATGGTGGGCGATATCAAACTCGACAGCAATACCCGAAAAACCTTGGATGACTGCTTGATTCTACAAGCCGGAGAGCCGTTTGACAGCAGGTCAGCACTCTGGCGAGCTCAAGACTGGGGCGCATCCCATGCCCTCCAGGAGACTTCACATCAGAGCTGGCCGTACCATAACGGATGTTCCACATTGGCCCCACTGATGTTCTCCGAAGTCGGTTTGGGGACAAAAGAGGTGAACTTTCCAGTTTTCCGGGAGAAGCGAAACCTCACCAGTGCTATGGATGAAATGGTGTTCTACTGGACCAAGCTTGCTACTCCCGAGCTGATCCAGGAGACGAACGAGAAATCGTCCAACGCAGCATACTACCTCCTAAAACATGTCGCTCAACACTGGGTCAACCAACTTGAGCTTATGAATACGACCATCGCCAGGGGTGAATGGTTCTCGGATGACTATCAAGCTCAAATCGACGACAATTTGAGTAAACAGAAATGGAAGCTAGACCTACTGAAGATCAACGAGATCGCCAAGGACATCAACTACATGCGTCGACATTTGAACCACTTCTGGCGTGCAATGTACCTCAACCTCGAACGCCTAGGCGTGCAATTGGGCTGCGAAGGTGTCGACGCGAATGCATCCCTGGCGATCCGAGACGCGCAAAAAGACTTCCTTACAATACACACAAGGATGCAGCCTTTACGCGATCGTGCAGAAGCCTTGAACTCTGTCTCAAACGATCTCGCAAATCTTCGGGCGGCGTTCAGAGGCGTCTCAGACGGCGAGTTCGGCCTCCGTCTCAGCTTGTTCGCATCCATCGTCTTCCCGCTTACCCTGCTTGCTGGTATCTTCAGCATGGGGGACGACTTTCGCCCTGGGAGGCCAAAGTTTTGGCATCTCTGGGCTATCGGCATACCCGTTTGCGTTGTGGTCGCACTCGGATTGGTGTACGGGAGAAGGCCTTGGGCAGTGGCCACCGATCTTTGGGAGTATGTAAGATCATGGTTCGAGCACTACGGGCTCATGAAGCCCAAGGAAAAGAATGCGGCGCAGAAACAGAAAATTGAAGGTACACAAATGAAAGAGAAGAGAACCCGCAAGCAAGGCGGACGAGCGAGTTTGGTGAGAAGGACAGGTTGGAACGTCCGGGACGAAGAACATGGTGTTGATGATTGAGTGTAGATTCATGATAATCCGAGGTGCAAGGCTAGAGTGGGGTCAGCCGAGGCAGCACGGGCTTGGCACCACCGGGGCCTCACCCCTGCATCACGGCAGCAATAGTTTCAAGCTGCGCCCTCTTCCACCTCTGCGAGATGGTCGTATGCGTATCATCCTCCACCCTCAAAACGACATTTCCATTGTCACCGCCCAGCCTCGCCGCAATCTGCATTCCATGATGGGCAGGCACGAAACAGTCATCCTTGCCGTACCACAACTGCACCGGCAGATCCTTCCTGATGTCCTCGACCCGGAAACCCCAGTCACTACATATCGTTCGCCCATCCAACGCTATACCGTCGAACCCCTGCGCTCTCGCTTCACGAGTTGATCGTAATATCAGGCGGATGAGATCCTCATCTGCCATGATCTCACGATCCCTCGGATCCTTGATTGAGGCGAGCTTTGAGGGGTCTAGCACACGTTGTAAACGCTGCTCGTCGCTCAGATCCATGCGCCCGAAAGCATCCCGGCTGAAGAACCATTTGATGAGGAAGCTAGGCGCGTACCTCCATGCGTACGGGAAGCCAATCTGGTGCTCAAAGTCTGCTCCCTTCATGCCGATGTCCATTGGTCCGACCCCACATACAACGGACACACATTTGAGCTTTGAAGCAGGGAGTGCTGCTGCACATGCAAGAGTATAGGGGCCTCCTCCAGATGCGCCCAGCACGGAGTAGCTCTCGAGTTGCAGATGGTCAACGAGACGTTGTACGTCTCTTGGGCAATCCAGCAATGTTCGCTGGGGATATGGCGTGCTCAACCCAATTCCAGGCCTATCGACCGCGATTATCCGTAAACCTAACTCAAGAGCGATATCCTGGTACGAAGCCGCTTCGATGCGCGACCCTGGAAGTCCGTGGTGATAGAAGATGGCACGACCAGTAGGCGACCCGTACTGTGCGTAACCCAGCTTGCGCCCGTCGGGAAGCGTCAGTGTATCTGAGGTATCATTTCCTAACGGGTATCGACATTCGCGGGTATCTTCTCCGTGAGTGGTAGTTCCATGCTCTTCTATGCTCATAGCTGTGTATGATATGATGGGATATCCTGTGATGTACACTCGGTAAATAGGCGTGCCGTGGTATTCTATCTTACGGGCAAATCGGATCGGACGTGCGCACTCTAACTACCATCGTTATTACGATAGAACATGGTTTCATAAATACTCTCTTTGACGAGGAGAAGCCCCATCGGCACTGTCGGACAGCCGACCAACAGCATCAGGTGTTGTGCTTACTCCGATCCTTCCCGCGTTCTTACGACGATTAGGCACCAGCTCAGCCTTGCCAAAACGTTCACGGTGAACGGCAATCCATCCATCACCTTTATGTCTCGATGAGCGGCATGCGCCCACAAACTTTTCGCGTCTGTGCTGTGACTGCTTTACAGCACGGGAATATCAGGGTGCTCTATCTTTCTGTTCTACCTAGGAATGCGACACAGTTTCTACGTACAGTCTTTGAAGCGCAGGGAAGTGGGGACCAAGTTACCCGTCGCTTGAGGACCGCTGTAACATCGAAGTGTATTCGTGATGCTCAACACAATCGTTCAAGGCATACCTCACAGTTTCGACAAACAGTACTTCGACTTCATTGTGGGCGGTGTGCCTGGTTTTGGTTCGAGTTGCTGCGGGTAAGAGTGCAAGGAAGCTACCCATTCGACGCAGACTTGGGCCTACGCTATCATCGACCATGTTATTCTGAGGTATCCGACCTGTCCAGACTCACACATACTAGCGACATACGCGCCCGTGTACCAGATTCTGCACATGTATAATCGTGAAGAGGTCTTGGCTACACTAGCTAGATATCTGCACATACACTATGCAGTCATCAGGCCAGATCAGCACACAAACGCCGTGTTACTTTACCTCTCCCGCTTCAACATGGCCTACACCGACCAGTCGAGATAGAGACACACTACGGAGTTCACGATCATGTAAGTACGCCCTAGCATCGTACTGAACCATTGGCACGAGACGGCGAAATTTCCTCGCGTCCATGTATGGATTACCGCTTCCGGCTCGACCAGTGTATGTGGAATGCAGGAGAAAAAAAGCAGTCCAAGAGGCGTACTGTCAGCGCGTGCAGACATCCCGGTAGACACCACACCTGCAGCAAAAGATCTCATTACCTTCTATGACGACGCGATTGCGTTGCACTGCGTTGCAAATGCAAACACCCGGTGAAAGCTGAGAAAAGCGTTTCTCGACTCGCCACCACCAAAAGATCAGCGCAAACCACGAGGTGTCAACACCAACACATCCCAGCATCCACGCGCACAACGCAGATCACCAAAGAGTGAGGCTCAACGTTGCACGTGTTGACTCGAGTCATGTCTCCACGCCACCGCAGCTCGCGAATCTGGTCCCAGAGCAAGTCCTCCGTCGATCAGGATGAGCGCGAAACCAATGCTCGGAACAACATACTCGCCTTCGCGGCTCGAAGCAGTGGAGATCGGCGACGTTATCGACGACGCCCTGCAGCATGTGCAATTATCGGCGTTGAGCGCTTTGCTGCGTGTGGCTGTCGGCTGGTTGGCTGCTGTGCGACGTAGCATTCGCGCGTACCTCACCGATATCGAGACTGCGGTTCCGGCGCTGGGGGCCTCGATCCTGAAGACGTGTTCCGACAGCCTGTCACTCCAGACTATCGGGATTGCCTGACTAGCGTGTGGTGTCCATGCTGTTTTTTACGAGGGTTGAGTAACTTGTGATTGGCGAAGTGGAGACGGGAGAATGTATGCCTGTGAGAGTGTGGATGTCAGGTAAAGCCGTGGCGGGCTGTGGCGTAATGGGTCCACGCAGCACGGGATCATCCTCTCACTCACAGGTTGTCATCTTGATTATCTGAGCCAGATTTCTCACACACTACCATTGCGGTGGTTGCATACCAGCCAGTCGTACATCCAGCCTCGCGCGGCTTCCAGCGAATATCGGCAGCAGCCGTCGAACCCAGACTATGGGGTTGCTTCTGACAAATATTCCCAGGTGGCTTCACGTCAACGTGCTATCTAAACCGAAGTGTCGGGTACTCAGCTAAGCTGGAAGAGGGAAATGGGGAAACATGGAGAACAATGTCAATGATCTTGGTTCAGTAATCTTGTCTGCTGGCACACATGATTCTATGCCGAACCAGGCAACTGGATGTGTGTGACTAAGGCAAAGTAATATCTTTCACTCTGACTCGCTATGATGTGGAGCTGAAAAGCTTCATATCCGATACCAAATATACATCTCATCAACAAGCGGCCCGCCCCTTGGCAATTTGGTCAAGGCAGTGCTGTACCGATCAAATGATATCCTACTCCAGGCCTTCGCTGCCTGTGTATCTATTCCAGTCGTTCATATTCATGTTCTCAGTCATAGGCGTAATTGATGACGACGCAGCGGCAGTTGACGGGTATGTCACGACCTGTGATCTGATCTGCCCTTGTTGTCCATAAAACCCTCCCAGAACGGTCGATGAGAAGCTTGGTGTAATCTCCGCAATGCTTGACATCTGTAATGGTGCTGGTCGCCGGGGAGTGAAAGGGGCGCATGGGTTCGTCTCTGCAACTTGGGGAAAGCTTTGCGATGTGTTGAAAGATGTCAGCTCAGCTGAGGTGATGGGCGCGTTTAGCGACTTTCGCGCTACTGTGGGTCTGTCGATATCATCTGGTGAGGAGAAAGCTGGCCTGAGAATTGGCGGATCAATGTTGACTGGAGGCACGGCGGGACATGAGTTATGCCTTTGTGGCCATGCGGAGGATTGGGCCCTGCGCTCTTGAGTTACTCCGGGTGCATCATGACTCCAATCATGATGCCAAACCACGTCGTGCTGCGGGTCTTCTGATGCTGCGACTTATTGGAATTGGGTATATAAGTGAAGCGGACGGCTACTCTCATCTCCTCGGGACGTTTGCCACCCACGATGATCTATCGTGTTCTTCAGCTGATGATCATGCAGCGTTGAAAAGTCTGCAGGCGAAGTTGGAGCAGTGTAACCATGTGGCTGCATGTGATCGTCCTCAGACAGAGTCGCGTATCGTGTGGACGCTGATCGCAACGTGGTCGATCTGCGCAAGCCCTGCATGCCGTCTGTGTATCGAGCGTTGGCGATATGATCCTTGGGTGATGTTGCTTCTTTCTTATATGTACCTCCGCGATGTAGACCTGCATGACGATATTCTTCGGTCTGGGTGGCGATATCGGGATTGTTCCAAGCCATCGGGGAAAAGACTTCGTTCGCGGCAGTTTGTTGGCTCATGTCCTCGAGTAAAAACATTCCAGTGTGACCCATCACTGTGTCAGTCACAGCCGAAGCTCGTGTTGCTTCGTTGTGCCGCGCCCCTTGCATAGCCGTATGCCTCTCTCCACGCGATTGGACGTCGGACGACAGTGTTACTAGCCTGTGCAACTCCTGCAAGCAAAGACCGAGCTTCTCTACAGCCAACCCTGCAAGCTCGTGGACGCTGTTCTCGTATAGTTCCTTGAAGACAACGAAGGCTTGTTCTGCTTTGAATGCGCCAGTGGTAAAGGTTCGGCATTCTAATGCATCCAAGAGAAGGATCATGCATCCATTGAAGGCCTGTCGTGCGATCGCCCAATCGATCAGCGCAGCTGGGTCTCTGTAGTGGAAGAACATGAAAGCAGAGATAAGAGCTTCTGATGAAGCAAGTACCAGCATCCTTCCGCGAGGTGCAGTCTGTGTTGAGTATGTCTCGTGTGAAAAGTCCAGGGAGGACGCGCGGTTGGCAGCTTGGAATGGTAATACATTATCCTTGCCAGTTGAGGTTGTCGCAGAAGTGGCATGTTTCTCGATTTTCTGTTGGTTCAGAAGAAGGATGTAAGTATGAGCATTGGAAAAGTATACTGCAGCATGTGAGCGAATGCATACACCAGATGACGTCTTCTTTGGACCCTAGAAGGGGTAACAGCAGAAAAGCCGCCCATGGTTTTGCGACTCGGGATTGCGTCTCCAATGCTTCCGACTCAAGGTGCAGGTTTCCGATGGCAAGATCGTACCTGTTGAGCACGAGGACCAAAATACAGGCAAAAGAGTGTTGAAACGTACCAGTAGCTATGGCGCTTAGATCCGGCAGAGGCGTCTCGGGAAGCATCCACGTGTCACGAAACTGAAGCGTTTCAGGTATCGTATCTAGTAATCTTCGGAGTATATCGGTGAACTCATTGATCCTGGCGTTCGTCAAGGGGTTACTACTCATTATCTGTCTGGCCAGTATCGTGAAGTGGTTAACGAACTCGCCGAATCGTAATAAAACCGGGTCGGTCGTCAACTGAGTCGGCCAGGGATTGTCACCAATGCCGCTTATTCCTAGAGGTCTTCCAAGGGTCATAGACATGTGTTCATCCAGGTGCAGCATGTGCCACCAGACCTTCTGTCGTATTACACAGTCTTTCCCATTTGTAGGAGCAGGATTCAGGTACTTCGGGTGACGATGAAGACCAACCGAGTGAGCAAGCCGGATCGTAGTGCCGAACAACGCAAACGAATCCAACATTCTTCCGTTGTTGGTAAGATAACTCCCGATCATAAGGAGCGTCTGGATTGCGGAGAGAGATGGCTT